GTTTGATTGAACGCATGTACAACATAGGAATAATATTTTTCTGCAATCAATATATTATAAAAAAGGAAAGTAGATGTGTGTTTATTATATGAATAATTTGACAAAGATTTAAATAACACATTTTAGAAGAGATTTATATGATCATCTATATTTTGTGGTATTAATGACGTCGCATCGTTTGTTTTTCTGGTTTTTATACATTTTATAATTCTCAGTCACGCATGTTGCCAGATCAATACACGATGTGTAATTTACATAATATAATATTTGATGAGAAAAAAATCGGACAACTAACCGATAAAAAGTAAATGAATAAAATACTGATGCTAACCAATAAAAAGGAAGTATGATGAAAATATTTACAAAATGCATTGAACGGATAGCTCAATAAATATCGGAACATTCTAGGCGGCCAAGTCTGGAGAGGCATTTATGGCGCCTAGTATACTTGGCGCACGCCACGATTATACCTACCTACCTACCTACCTACCTACGACTGTTAGCAGCAATATATATGGGCCGATTATATGTTGCGGCATTGTAGGCAATACAGCCGCGTGGCGTCGTGTCGCCTCGAATCAAACCCGGACCTACATTGTACTTAAAGCAATACAACGCAGCTTGTATGGCATGCAGTCGAATCACAGCTTGCATATATCAGAGCCTGAGTGCACATGTGCCATAGAATTGGTCTATTCGCTCGCGCCTTCCCACGAGATAGTTCACGAAAGACGTAAATGTTAATGCTCGGAAATTTTAGACAGTCGAGTAGTTGGAACAGTTCGAATTATCGAAATGTAATACGAGATTTTATAAACAAGTAAAATTTTTAGAATTTTTTTACTATTTTTGAGAGTATTTTAAATTAAAAATGTGAAATGTTTTATATAATAATAACATGTAAAATATTTCTTTTCTTATTATGTGGACATTTGCCTGTATTATTATTATTATCCTTATTTTTTATGTTACTCAAACTGTGAGACTCTGCAATCTTCGCGCGATGACAATCTTCGCGATGATATAAAGTAAACGAGAGCGCACAGCGCCAGAATTATTCAACATTACTGCGATTTGATTTCACATGCCTTTTCGAAAATAGATCAGGTTGCAGGATCTGCAAATTTGCTACACGGTTTTCATCTGTTTCCTTCATGCACCCAACATCTATCTACATTTTACCTATGTATCGCATATACCTCGCATTTCGTGTTTTATGTGAAAATGTATCCGGGCAATGAGAACCCGAGTATTTCCTGAGAGTAATTAACCGGATATATAATGCATCCGGTTAATCAGATATCAATATCTTTCCGGTCTAAATTCGGCGCTTCATTAAAAATGCAAATATCTCGAGCACTCGACGAATCTTTCCTTCAAGAGGATAATGTTTAATTGAAATTTATTAAAATTAAAGTTAAAAATGTTTCATCAAATTTTTTTTAATAAAAAATAAAAAGATATTTAAGTACGGAGAGCGATACATATATAAAGATCATGCAATTACATTTCGATTGGTTGATAAAATGAAAAGAAAAAAAAATGAATAAATCGCGGGATGCAATGTTCAGAGTAACCGATAAAGAGACGACTTCGGACTTTTTAACTAATAGCCACGATGCACGGATATCTAAACAATCAGCGAAATAAAATCGCACAGTATATTACGGGACATCGTGCGCCATCGGTTTTATTACGTGCCCGAGTCAAGCACAACGCGATATGTATTTCCCGACAGCGTTTCCGTCATGAAAATAATGCCGGTTTTTCCCACGCGGCCAGTTTTTCGTAAAGAGTACACACGACCGAGCCGGATATTGGAATTTTCAATGGTTGTCCTGCGCCAGGGGTGGGCGACTATGGAAGGACGAGCTGCATCGAGGTGCAACCAGCCGCGTGATTCATCGCGAAACGCACCACGATGCAAGTTCGGCATGCATGCGTCATTGCACAATTCAACAACGGATTCCGCTTCTTTCCGTGTTATTCTTGCTCGCGTTATGTTTTATTAATCCTGTTGTTACGTAAAGCATCTAATTTTGCACCCGCAAATCTCTCTCGTCCTCTCTTTCTTTCTTTTTACATCTTTTTTTCGTTGTAGAACGTAAAACGAATTGATATGCTATATTTGATTTCGAAACGTCATTGAGATTTGTTGCGTTATGTAATTTCTCCATTATGTAAATGAGTTTCTGTACATAAACTAGTGCAGCAGCAGTAGTATATAAACGTACGATAAACACACTTGTTGGCTGTTCAATTACGGCTCCTATTTCAGCATGGTAAACATATAAGACGATATTCGAAAAATTCAGAGCTTTTTACAGCTTTGAATATTAAATCGATACAAAATATTTACTCTGTTTGTTCGACGGCGCTCTCTAAAACATATGAAAAATTTACACAGTATACTTTTTTATAAGAAGGGAAAACATTTCATATAGGAAAAATAAATCAAAAAATCTGTCTGTAAAAAACGATTGTTATTAATATTATTCGATATTTGTCTCATTAAATATCGCACTGATGTTTTTAGAAACCGGAAAATAATTCTAAAGAATCTGAATCTTTTAGAACAAGTAACAGAAAAATGGTTTTCCTGTTTTCAGAATATCATTTTGGCATATGTTAATTTTTAATAAAAAATTGGAAATGATTATACGACAAAGCTAATAATTGCACTTTTACTTATAGAAACAAAAATTTATAGAGCACGCGATTCTTATCTGTTTTTGAAATAACAAACAAGTTAATTATGACAAACTGCAAATATTCATTAAAATTGACATTCGTGAATAAAATTCTGTTTATTAAAACGTTTTCATAAACGTTATAGCGGTAACAGAAATATTTTTAATTGCGCATATCGTTGGTCGGGTTTATGAAGTTCACTTAGCAAGCACTTCCGTTAAACTAAAATTAAGTGCGAAATACAGGCATTAAGTATGCATATGTGCAAATTGAAAAGTCCGCACACAAATTGAATGCGCTTTATTTTCATTCGCGATGTTCGTCCGAAAGATGAGCTCGCTTGAAATAAAAGCGCCATGAAATTTTACTGCGTTCAATGTAATGCACTTTTTATTGAATCTTTTATTTGCTTTCTTCCTGTCCCCCATCGCATCGCGTTATGAAACATTCTGCAATATGTCGTTATTTTCACTATTTCATAAAAATCGCCGGGAAACATGTCACTATTATTAGTGCTAATATTACTAAAGAGAGAGACAGATTGAATTATTGTTACACATTTCATATACTTTTTTTCTTACAACGCAAATACACGTCATAATTTATAATACTTTTAATTAAACATTTATGATATTGTTATCGTTACTACACCATATGATTTCTTCAGGAATTAAATTATTATTTTTAAGTACTATAGTAAATTATTATAATTATTTTGTTATTGTCACTTTATTACTTTTTTATTTATTATATACCTAATAATATATATACCTATAATAATATAATTTTTTTATATTAACGAATAAGTTAATTTAGAAAAGATAATGTGTGTATTTTTCAGTGTTTGCATATTTCTAACGAAAGTATAATGTATTATGTGCAATGATTCGCTATATTCATAAAAAGAACTCTTGTGTGTTTTGCAACAGCGAAATTAAATAATTTATTGCTACTCGTAAAGCGTTTTTGTATGTAAATTTCAATGTTGCAACGACGGTCACACGATGTAACATATCAACACTGAGTTTTTTATCGTATAGATCACTGAATCGTTAATTATTCGAAAATAAAAAAATAATTGTTAATTATTAATTGTTGAATTATTTTTACGTGGCATTTGATAGACAAATATAATTAAAATTGCGAAGTTGTATATTTATAAGTCCAATAAACATAGATACAATTAGATTGCAATTATTTACAAGAGTTAAATGGCAATTATATGCAGAAATGGATATCGATAGGGTGCATAGTAACAACGCAATTAAAAATAAAGTATCGAGATATAAATTATATAAATAAATCGAGCAATAATAATATGATTAGTGGTTGCACAAAAATACCACTGCACTTCGCGAATTATTTAAATCTGTATTATTCTCAGCATTTTAAATATCTAGCACAAGCCACAATTTTGCCTATGCTGATTATTTTGAAAGAGTTGACGTGTCACATGCAAGACGTCTTTTTAATCTACGGTGTTATTTAGCATAATGAAAAATTAATTATCGTGCTGTCATTCCGAGCATTACACATAGCATGTGCGTCGCAATTTAATTCTTCGCCATATTTTTTTCACAAATGCGATACTGCGACGCTAAATTAAATATCAAAATGAAATCGCGATAGAGGAAAATTCTCACGCTGTGGCTCGCTCGATGTCATTTAGTCGCTCGTGTGCAATGCATAGTTTGCTTTGCCAATAATTTCGTATCGACTCCTCTTTACGCTTCATTGTTAATACAGTGCGTTAATAAGAAAAATTTCCAGTTAATTAAATGTCACGCATATTGCGCGAGCACAAAGACTTAAATTCTGTGAAATGTCACGTGAAACTAAATCACAAAATTATGTCTATATGTATAACCAGAAAGTTAATATTAAAAAGCAAGCAAAAAATATTTAATATTCATTACTTTCAGTAAATATGTAATATTTTATTATTCATAATATATAGAGATCAAAGATATTTGAGAGAGATTTATGTAACAAAAATCTCTCATTTTCAGATATTTGGCAAATTTGCTCTATTTGAAATAAATGATAAAACTAAACAAAGATAATTTAAAAGTAAAATCGGAAATGCGGCTGGATGCAAAATTGCATTCTAGATGCGATCGTTCAAGAATAGTGTAATGTAAATACGCTATTAGGGGTGAGAACGGAGAATGCGCGAACAGTTGCGTTTGCAACTCGCCGCCACCTCGTCTGTCCCAATGTTCTCCCTTTGTCCGCGCCACTTCGCGCCACTCCGAACTCCCTCGACACGCATAACTTGCTCACGTCCCTGTTTCCCTTATGTGTTTCAGGAAGATGCGGGCATGGATCGCCGTGCGAGCAGCTCTGCTACGAACTCCACGACGGCATGTACGAGTGCGACTGCAGAGACGGCTACATACTTCATAAAAATGGATACAGCTGCGCCGGTGAGTGTGAGTCGATTCGCTCCTTATCCCGCTTTGCAATTCGCATTCATGGCGGGCGACATCTTTGATTTCCCTAATAAAATTTCGCACCGCGCCGGGCTAGGCGAAACTTTTTGATGCGGCGCCCGTATTGTTTCCGACACGCCGCGCTTCCGACCGACGGATTCTTCGTTTGATTTCCGGCGAGTTATCAAGAACGAATTTTATTCCGGAAGTATCCTCGGGCGCGCCGGTTGTTTTATCCCTTAAAATTGCTGGTAACATTTTTTTTATAACACCGTCGTTGTTCCACCGTGTTAGGAATGCATTAAACAAGAGTTTTTACAGATTTGTAATTCACGATTATCAGCGCCTTCGATCAAAATCAGAATAGGAAATAATTCTCTTCAAGAAATTTTCGAATAGTTCTCGAGTTACTTGTTTTGCAGTATCTGAATTGAATCTATTAGGAGCATTTTCTTCATTTTATATTTGCACTTTATTATTATAAATTCGATGTGTTTTGAATTTTAGCAATATGCGACTTTAAAGTCGAGTCGATTGTGCAACTTTCAGTTGTAAAAAAATTAAAAAAAATGAAATAGCTACTGCTAATGTGCACCGTGCGATATTTACAATTATTTTGTAAGATCTGCAGGGGTAATAACGTAATTTGTATTGCGCGTGAAATTTATTTATCGTCGAAAAATTACGAGGTAAAATGCTCGCTCACCGTTCACAAATTTATCTCGACAATCTCAAGTTCAGGCTGTTTACAGTACCATACCTGTATTAAAGGTAATATCTCATTTCGCGTGGAATTGTGCATAATACATTTCGCGTCGGGCTTATGAAATACGAAGAGAGAAAGAGAAAGGGGTGAGAGAGGCAGGGAGGGAAAGGGAGAAGTGAACTGTAAAAGAAAGATACTGTAAAATTACCCATAAATCATATAGAATTTTTAAGGATAACGATGATTTATTGTTGGTCTTATCTCATATAAGAGTCTTTGAATCGTAGCGAAGATGTTTTTGGATCGAGCGTTGTCATAAATGCACAGTCGGTGTATTTCATCCTGGCGAACGCTACCGACAAAATAGGTTCGAGTTATGGACGTTTTATTTGAACTTTAACAAATAGATACGAGGTTCGTGCGCTCAGATTTTAATAAATTTTTCCCAAAATATAGGAAACATAACTCACGTTTGTCGTTGCTATCTTTTATATTATATTTTGATGCATTTTTCACTTTAAATGGACAAATTTATTTTATATAAAATAATCTAAAATTATCTACTTGTGACGTTAAATGAATAATCCGAAAAATTATATATGATTTAATGTGAAATATTGAGAGATGTTACATTTTAGTTGCGCATGTATGCCGCATTATTGAACTGCATCACAGAGTTCATCCCATTCGATGTTGCAACTGTTGCAACAAAATTACGCGGTTCCATTTACCCAATAGATGTTTTTCTCACGGACGCGACAGGAAATTTGGTGGGAAGTTCGTCGACGATCGTCGCCGTTAATTGCTTTCCGATTGATTGTTCGCGGAATTCTATTGTTACGGTTTCTCCTCAATCGAAATGCTTATCTCGCGACCAGAGTTTTCCGCTATTACAATTTCGCATCAACAACCTAGTTTTCTTTGAGAACTTGAGAAAAAGAAATTCAGCCTTCGTTGTATTACATCTTTACTCATCTATTAAAATCAGAACTGACTCTTTTAGAATTTCAATAACAGAAACGTTCGTTAAATTGATGATGATAATCAGCTAAAATATTATTCTTTTGATGTTATAATTATTTGTACAAATCAATATTATTTGCGATGCATTTTATATATATATTATTAATTTATATAAATTTTTTTTTAATTTTTGCTAGTTACAATAATAAGTTACAACAAGCAAATAAAGAAATTTTTATTATTATATTATATTACAATTTTTTAAAATATAATTTAAAAACTTTAAAATAATTGATGAAAAGACAAAGAAGAAGCGCGCTCTGTAAGACAGCGTTAATGATTATTATCAATTCATGAAATTAAAATACGAAAGGAGGTCACAAAGAAGAAATATTATTAACACTGTGTTTATTTTTAACTTGTCATGTCATGTTAATTACAATCTACAGCTAATTAATGTAACCATGATTTTGGTTGACATTTCAATGGAACATACAGATTTATTCAGAGAACTCAGCGTTAGTGAAGGATCTCTGTATGTATTTCTTGTTTTGACGACAACTACTAGAATATTGACGGTTGAAATAGTATTTTGAGTCCGCTGTCATACAGGAGTCAGGAGTAAATTTATAATCTGTACATTTGCAAGTACTCTGAATCTAATTGTTCTCATGAATTTGTTCTCACAACTTTACATGCTCTGACGCTGTCCGTTTTAATACATCTCGGCGGATAACAAGATAAATCGATTTACGTTGAATTTTTACTGCGCAACCTCCTCTGCCTGATGCTAATCCAATCGTGCCACCAACACGGATGCTGCTTCCTCTCCTGTCACGTCTTCGGTCCTCCACTCTGATATCGCATCCTGGGTTTAATCCCGCGGTTGGTAAAACTTCAGCACTCCTTCTGTTTTTAGTTCGTTCAGCTCCCCTGCGCTGAATCCGATGATCCGTCGACGCGAATGCGGCCATCTCTTCTACTGTCGCCGTCCGCCGCGAATCCAAATAGATTCTCTGTCTTGCGCTAATTGCGCTACCTTTGCGGTCCGCGAATCTAATTCTTATATTGATTTTTCCCCTAAATCCGATTCTCAATCCAGCGTGCTGCGCCCGCGGTAAATCTGATAAATTAGAGTCTTCCTGCTTCTGGTGCCAGATCTCTTTTCCGGATTCCATTAATAACGATGGCGACATCTCAACGTCTCCCATTTCCACGGGCTCTACAATTTTGATCACATCGAGTCGATTGTCAACTTTAATGTCTAATTTGGCAAGCGCTTCCTGCGGCAGTTCATCGAGCTCTTTTTCGCTGAACGCGATTGCACCGCCATCGTGAATGCGCTTCTACTCCTGTTACCACCTTCGGCACGTATCCAAATTGATCCTCCGTACTCCGCTAATTCTGCCTCACCTTCCTCCAATATTTGGAAACTTGCAGACTTGATCGTTCCAGCGATTTCATTGCTAATTCTAATTCTTAACTCGGCGAGCCACGCCGGAAATAATTCAGCTAGGTCGATTCCTTTATCACCCTCTTCGGCGCTTCCACGGACGCGAATTTCGGCGATCTTGCTATTAACTTTCGCCCGATCAGCACCCTGACGATTTGCCTCATCGACGGTTTCGCGAGAATATAACTGTCCCACTGATTTCAGGCTGAAATTAATTGATCAACTTCTTGCAAGTTGCTTAATTTCATTAATTTTACGATTTATTATATTTATTTTAATATTTTATGTTCTGTTATTTTCCAACGATCAATTCTTTCAACAATTTTAAGCCGATTTTTTTTATTAACGATATTATATGTCACACTTATAACATATTGCGACTTTGCACAAGTTCGCCACTACCGGAATGGCGACGGCCAGAAATATCAGAGAGAGACTTTACCTTGTCGTCAGCAAACAATCTATCATATTTCTTACGTGTCGTACGTACAATAAATGACCGCAAAAAAATAGTAATAGACTGTTATACTTGACGAATTACGCTTTTATAACATAATTTTTTTTAATATTATTATTGATTTATTTATTCTAATTAATATTATAAATATAAGTCAATAAAATGTCGTGCGGGTGATATTATATTAATAATACTAATACACATACATATATTATAGAAAATTCATTAATTAGTATTTAATAATTATTGATTGATAATTGGTTTCTAGTTTTTAATTATATGAAGCTATACTGCAGTAAAATTCGTGCTATTTTAGATTTTGAACTTGAATATTGAACACTAATTGTATTGCAAGTAATGAAATTAGAATTGATGAGTGATCGCTAATTGCTTATCCGTATTACTCACTGAAAGCGTTGAAAGGTGAATGCCTGTTAATTGATTGACTGCTAGCTTATATACAATGAGTTAACGAGAGCTTCTGTGAATGAGAAATCACAACACAAGTGATATAAAAGCAATAATTGCCTTCTTCATATTTTCAGCATATATTGCTCAATCGTGTAAAATTCGGAAATGTCAGAACTTCTATCAATTTTTATCTAATATTTTTCGCTCTTGCCATATTTATACGTCTATTTAGAATCAAGAATTCTGTAGTCGAAGTAAAATTTTAAATAATTAATAAAGTTAATTAATAAAGTTACTCATTTTTTGCGACATTGTTATCTTATATTTATTATACAGAAATTTAAAATTTTGATGAAATATTATGGTAATAGTATGGCATTTTTATTTTATTTGTTAGAGAAATATTGAGAAAGTGGTTTTACATGCTTTCGTAATAATTCCAATTTTTTACAAATACAATTTTTTACTCAACTTATTACATTGTTTATTACGAAAGTACATTTATTATAAAATAAATTTATTTTAATATTTTATATTTTGTTATTTTCCAACGATCAATTCTTTCAACAATTTTAAGTCGATTTTAATCTTAATGATAAATTAAGCCAATATCACAATGATAGTCTCGATAATTTTATCAACTGTAAAAGCATAATTAATCAACATTTCTTATCGAATTGAAAGTAAATCGACGTTTACTTTCATTTTCAGATACTGAATATCGTTTTTCTCAATGCATTGACTTTATCGCTCAACAGATAATTACTTTGGCGCGAGAAATATTTAAGATTATTTCGTTTTAATTAATCGATCAATCATCTCATTATAGCATTATAACTTATCGTTATTTCAATAATCCTTTTTTTTTTTGATATTTTTTATTTGTGTTCGAATTTTGTAGTTTTTTCTTATGTCTATGTTTTATTAAAGAAACTCTTCAAAATTATTATATAGAATGCAGTCATCTACTAAGTGTAATTCTTAAGAAAGTTAACCTTTATTAGTTATATCTTTATGAATTTTGTTTTGACTGAAAATACCTTGTTATCGGCCAAGATATCACGCGGCAGCTAAAAGAGATAAATAATGGATTTTATCAATGAGAAAGTAGAAAGAAGTAAAATGTATCATATCTCATAAAATTGGCTTTCTGAAAGTTTTCTTAATCAGAGCATAAAGCTATCGCTAAAGTTCAAGTATTAATAAAGTTTCTGTGGAAGCTTAGACTGTGAAAATCCACATATGACAGATTGCTAGGAATATTGTTGAAATTGGTATGATTTTCAGATATTTTCTTAAGAAATAAAAGAATTATTGGCGAAATGAACAGTAACGTATTACATTACTACAATTTCATTAATTAGAAACGTTCGCGATTAATTGACAGCAGTGAAATATGAATTTCAGCAATTATTATAGAATCTAAGTGCTCGCGAATTAAATATTCAAGAAATCAGAACATTGTACTTAAGGCGACATCGAATTGGATTGAAATTTTAACAGATTTAATCACGACGCTTTTATAAAATACGATTAGATGGAGATTAAATCTTACTTAGTCTGTGACCTATTTTTCAAATTAAATTAGAGTTTCCGAAATTGGATTAAGTCGTAATCGAATTAATCTTATCTGTGTTTTAATTATGCATGAAACTTACATCTCTGTAAATGAAGCAGTCTTTGGTTTACTTTAACGTACATAAATTGGAATCAGCACTGGCTACCTGATATTGATATTAATACTAAGCCTTAATCTTATTCTACGAGAGTTGCAACAAAGGATTAACGAACTATGTTTTGTGGTATTTGCGTTACCTGTATCGTCCGTATTGATTTATCTATCCATCTATGAAGTATGATGAACTGCACGATTGAATTAATACTCATTGTTGCCTATTCAAACACGCACTAATATTAGCTTTTCATCGTGCGCGGTATGTATGCAATTCATTAGTGATATTATTGTATAACAAATGTGGTATTATTCAAGCAAGTGCTAAATATTTGCGAACACTAGAACTATCAATATATAATTCCAATTTGCCGTTTTATCGAAGACCACGTCGTTTATTGATCGCAACGGTCTTATTTATATCAAGCAATAAAATTGATCTAATCTAGCTCTGCGTTTACCTTTGCTTTGCGATAAACGAATAAATTTTATCGAGTTAATGAGAAATTTTGAATAATGTTAAAATTAATTATTTGCAAAAAAACTAACAAGAACATACAAATTAAAAATCAATTAAATATTTTGTATAGATTTTGCTTGAAATCTTGTATGTACATCGTCACAATTTTCGATCATTGTGAAACTCACGATGGAGTACAATGCCCTGAACGTAACATAACAGTCATCGACATTACAATTGATCGCTAATCGTTTATTCGTTCGTTTGTTCGTTCGTTCGTTCGTAATATCAAACTCAATTGCTCCGATCGCTATTCCTTTAATAACGCTTTTACGGCTTTGGAACGCGCTGCGCTATGAGCATCTTTTCTAAATCGACTCTGCAATCGCGTTCCGATCGGAATCGTGGGAGTTTTGCGAATACTATCAACGACTGCTACGCTAGGTCGAACTCTCGAGGCTTTTTAAATATGGCGAATATCAGCTCAAGCGCACCAATTTTGCTTTTGGCCCTCTTCCGCGCTGCTGCAAGTCCGTAATGTTACAAATATATTTCCAACTTTAATCTGAATTCCAGAATCGTTACAAGACTTAATTTGGAAAGACATTTCCCCGACAATTTTTCTACCATAGTTTCTGGTTTGACTGACGTATTTTTGTGATAATAAAATTTTATTATTATTCCACTGATTTTTTTTATAACAGGTAATATCACATGTCATAATTTTTATTTCAAGTTTTATTTAAATCTTATTTTATAATAATATTGATTTTAATGGAATTTCTGAATATCTAGAAAATTTAATAATTTTTAACAGAATAACATATTTACATAAAGATTTATAAGCATATTAATTACTTGTATTGAAGGCTTAAAGTTTATTAAATACTTGTATTAAAGGCATTATGTGTGCTGAATTTTAAGACACGGCGCATTTTATGAATCTATAAAATTAGATTATAGCATCAATTATGCTCTATCAGATATCATTTGAATAAAAATGGTCAGCGTCAAAGGCCTTTGAATTCGAACAAGTTCAAGGGGCATTCACGGTGGAATGAGATCCCTCGTATACGACAGGCCTATTAAATTTTAAATACCCAGGTTAAATGCTGGAGCGCGTCCGCCACTTGATCCGCTGGCAAATATCGCGGTAGAAGCCTCGGCTCACTCAAGAAAGCTTCGTTGAAAAGAAACGGTCGAGTGTCTCTCCTGGAAAGTCGGTAGTTTTCGAACGGCAAAACAGCCACTATCGAGCGTAATTGCTACAATTGTTTACTAACGCCATTGCCGCGTTCGCACACAAGTGGTAATTTGTAAAGTAAGCCACTTATCAGAAATTTATTGTAGAATTCTATATTGTGAACAAATAGGTGTTGTTACTATTTTTAAGTTTAAAATTAATGGTCGTTTAAATCTGCCTCTTTCAGTCCTTAATAAAATTTAAAATATTACATATAATATTAAAAATATCTACACATATTTGAAATTATTGGGAAAACAGCCGGAGAGAGCCTCGCTAAATTTTTCTATGCGTCGCATTCGGTAACGGTGATTATTGTAAAAATTTCACGAAGGTCTACGTTTCCGCATGAATGTTGGAGGGTCGCAACCCTCTGACCGGTTCGCGAACCGGCAAAGACGGCGGCGAACTAGTCGGTTTTATTCATGGAGAGTATTACGTTACATATTCAGAAGTTACTGACCGACTGTTTCAAGTTTCGGCGGAACCACCGGCGCTTTTTGCTCCGAAAACACAACGTCCGCGTGGAACAGTACGCCCACGATCGGTGCAAATAAATTCTCCCGGAAACGAAACTCAATACGGAGTAGTCCGAAACCCGTATTCTGCGTTACCTATCCAGGTCGTATCGATACCCAGATGCCCTATGCATCTCCCGTTCCGACGTTGACTTTCGGCGTTGCTGGTCGGCGCACGCTTCCTCTCTCTCTCTCCCCCCCTCTCTCTCTCTCTCTC